AAAAAAAAAAAAAACCTGGGCAAAAGACCTGAATAGACATTTTTTCCAAAGAAGGTATTCAAATGGCCCATAGGTACATGAAAATGTGCTCAACATCACTAATCGTCAGGGACATGCATATCAAAACCACAGTGAACTATCATCTCATACCTGCTGGATAGCTGTTCTCAAAAATGCAAGAGATAACAAATACTAAGTATTGATGAGGATGCAGAGGAACAGGATCCCTTGTATACTGTATGCTGGAATGCAAACTGACTAAGCCACTATGCAAAACAACATGAAGGTTCCTCAAAAATTAAAAATTGAATTACCATATAATATAGCAATACTACTTGTGGGTATATATTTGAAGGAAACAAAATCACTGTTATGAAAAGATATCTGTACCCTCATGTTCATTGCAGCTTTATGTACAGTAGCTAAGCCATGGAAACAATCTAAAGGTCCACTGACAGATGTTTGGATAAAGAAAATATATGGATACACAATGGAATATTATTCAGTCAAAAAAAGGAAAGAAATCCTGCCATTTGTGGCAACATGGATGGACCTTAAGGGCATCATGCTAGGTGAAATAAATCAGACAGAGGAAGATAAATACCATATGATCTCACTTACAGGTGGAATCTAAAAACACCAAACTCCTAGAAACAGACGGCAGATTGGAGGCTGCCAGAGGTGAGGAGGGTATGGAAGAAATGGATAAAGGAGGTTAAAAGGCACAAGCTTCCAGTTATAAGAAAAATAACTTCTGGGATGCAATGTCCAGCATGGGGATTATAGCTAACAACACTGTATTGTATATTCAAAAGTTTCTGGGATGGTAGATTTTTAAAATTCTCATCACAAAAAAATATGTACCTATGCGTGATGATGGATATTAACTAAATTAATTGTGGAACTTCTTGAACCTCTGGGTAATGATCCACCAGTTTTGGAAAATCTTGGCCATTATCTTTTCAAAATTGCTTCTACCCAAACTATTCCTCTCTTTCTGTGATTCCAAGTGACATATATATTATTCTTATGATTGCATTCCATGTATATCTTCATTTTGTGCGTGTGTTTCATTTTTGATATTGTCAATTGATCCATTGCCAATCCATTAATTATCTGCTATATCCAATCGTTAACCCATCCAAGTTCTTAATTTCAGATATTTATTTTTCTTTTTTTAAGTTTATTTATTTATTTTGAGTGAGAGAGAGGGAGAGAAAGAGAGAGCGAAAACATGAGTTGAGGCAAAGAGAGAGACAGAGAGAATCCCTATGGAGTAAAGACAGCAACTATGTTTTACACATATACAGCCCCCACCCCATGCCTAGCATGGTGCTGTATGGCATCATGGTTAACAGCATGGTCCTGAGATGGACATGTTCTCCTACTTACTGCGTGATGTCAGGTAGACCAATTTCCTTCTCTGAGCCACTCTCCCCCCATTGATTGGTAAGATGAGAATAAGAACAGTAAAACTTACCTTTAAAGGTTGTCATGAGGACTAAATGAGACAATGAGGTAATTCTGTAAATTTCCTCACAAGGACTCTTTGGGGGGGGGTACATTAAACTATGCTAGCATTTTTTAATCATCGTGATTATTATTTTTTCCCAAATGGAAATAAGTTTCTTTGTGATTTTAAAAACAATACATCATCATTGCAAAACTGCAGCAAAAAAGTACAACCATACTGTATTTAAACAAAATAATTCTATATACAGTATGATAGCCTAATTTTTCACATAATCACTTCTGGTGGGCATTGTTTTCATTGACAGCCGAAACTAGCATGGTTAGAGGAGTCCTTCACCTTCCTGTTACCATGAGCTCCTTTTCAGTGGCCATAGGCCGAATCTGGGTATAGATGTCCATTGTGAACAGGGTGCTGGCACAGTTGAAAATAGAAGTCAGGGAGGACATGAGAGAGGCCCATAGTGCAGACAGCATCAAGCCTCGTATGCCTAGAAGAGAAGGGACATTTCCTGGGCCTCCAGCTCTCTGGCCATGCCAGGAGATGCCTTAGGCCTCCTAAGGCACTTTTCTATATACTACATTTTCTCCTACAAAAAACATTCAAATTTTATTTGGAGTGGCATTCCATCTAAAATAGATGAAAGCATTACGTTTGTCCTTGCTTTGTGATGAAACTTACTAGTTTCCTGCACTGTCTTTATATAATAATGAGAGTTAATATCTCTTGGGTGGTTATTTTGTGCCAGAATATTTCCTTGGGCATTAGCCCGTACCATCTTCCCTACAGCCCTGTGAGATGGACTCCACTGCTGCCTCACTTTTACAGATGAGAAGCCAGTGGCTCAGAGAAAGTTCAGACTGGAGGCAAGGGATGTGACTCCTTGTGTCCCAGTGTCCTCATCTCTAAAGTGGGCATAAAAGTACCTATCACACAGAGCTGTTGTTAAGATGAAGTTAAGCAGATGGGTTAACAGAGAGCAAGCACTCATAAAATGTGAGCTATTAACATAACAATCTAATATTTTCACCTGAAAGGCTATCCTACTGCAGGGACTTGACTCTGCAGAATGATTTCTACGTGTTGATGGGAGAGCCTGAGGCTTAACTGGAGCCTGAGCTGGAGGCCCACTGCAGCAAGGTTCCCAGTGTATTCTGTAGGCTACTGGGCCAGGCAAAGACTGGTGTCCTTGCATCTACCTCCCTTCAACTGCCCTGCAGTTGACCCTCACTTGAAGCCCTGGGTGCTTTAGGATGGGCTCAGCTGCGTAACCTGGACAACTTCCTTCCTGAACTGTGCGATGGTCAGTATTTCTCTCACTCAGATTCCATCTCTATTGGATTTTATGGAAATAGCTCAACTTTGATCTCTAGAGCTCTTACTGATCTTTAGAGCTAATATGGGATTTAAAAAATGTTTGGCCATCTCCATGGGATTTGAGGAAGTAGTTGAGATGAACACACAGACTCACTGTTAATTTGCAGTGAAAGCCATCTCACTGTTGGTGAACTGTCCATCTCCCTGACCACCCAGTGGACATAAGCTCTTTGAGATCAGGGCTAGGTATTGCTCATCTCTGCCTTCTCATTGCTTAGGATGATGCCTGGCACAGAGTGGAGCCCTCCAGCGGAATGAGTGAGTAAAAGCTTGAGTTAAGCAGGGGAAGCGAACAATGCAAATCGTGGGCATGAGCTAGCTGTGCCTCTGAGAGCATATACCTTGTGTGAGTGTGTGAGAGATGATGGAGAAGGAGGCCCGGCTCCTTCCCTCAGGGCAAGCAAAGCTCCATCTACATCACTAATGTCCCCCCTACTTCACAGCCAACATTTCCACCCAGAAAGATGGGCTGCCTGGTAGATAAGCCACCCCCAGCTTTCACACTGCTAACTATCCACTTAAAGCCTGAGGGCACAGGTTCCAATGGGGACACAGATGATGTGGTTTCCATGGCAGGGCCCATCTCTTACCTTTGGGAAGCAGCTCTACCACCAGCACCGGGTAGGCAATGGAGCTGCAACCAGTTCTGGTGCCACAGAACCTCTCACATACTGAAGGTACAACACATGCCACTTTATCTGCAAGGGGAGGTAACAGTCACGTCACACCAACATGTTGGCCTTAGAGCTCTAGAATCTGAGTTGAAGGAAAGGGAAGCAAATTAGGAATCCTATGTGGATGTCAGATTGGTCTACTGGTGACAGCTCCGACTCATGATCCTTCTCAGGAGGATCACTCCTCAGGAGCTTGGGGTAGAGGCAAGGGCAAGGAATTAGGCACCTAGGAGCCAGATGAATCAGGGCTTCTACCAATTCACTGCTTGACCCCACGCATGTCATATGGCCTCGACATGCCTTTCAGTGACCACTGCTAGGTGACAGATTATTCATCCACATACTAATGCGTGAACAACTCATAACCTTATTTGCTTAGCTCTCACAGGAGTGTTATTTCAGAGTATTTGGGAAGGAATTTTGGACAAAGGGAAGGAAAGGGAGTGAATGTGATATGTTGTTTAAGAGCTTAAATTAGGAATATAAAGTTATAATCTGATATAAAGCTACCCAAAACAACGAATCAACTTTTATGACAAAGAAGCAGGATATTGCCCCAGTTTATGGGGCAAGCTATTTACTGGGGACAGCTATCGAGCCTAAGCACTGGTTACCAAACATCTTGAGGAAGACTAATACTAAAGCTTGATTAGAAACTCAAGGGGGCAGCTGCATCCATTTACATCTTCCCACTCTCCCTGCCTCCTGCTTCGGGTAACAGAACCTCTGAGATACTTGGGGTGGTATAGGAAGGGCCCAGGAGCCAGGCCTGGCCATTCTGGAAGTTCCTTCCCCTTGGCTACAAGACTGGTCCCTATCACTAAGTGAGTTCACTAAGACTCCTCTAGGATTTTTGCTGGAACTATAGGGAAAAGAAACACTTGGTGGGTATTGTTGAGCTGGTGGGATAGAGGTCTGCTGCAGCTGGTGACCACTTTGCCAACAGAAGGCCTGAGGATGACACTAGCTCTGAAGAAAGAGGAGCTAAAAAGGTGCATGTCATGTTCAACCAAGGGCCCCAAATAATACAGTGTCCTAAACAGAAAAACAGATTTCAAGAACCACACCTTGGCAGTTGGCAGTGTCTGGCCCCCAGCTCTGGCCAGGGGAGAGACCCAGAATCTAGGGCCAAGAACACTTGGGTTATTGGAAAAGCATATTCTTCCAGGAACATGGACAGGTGCCAAGCTTCCATGATAAGTGGCTTTCTGGCTTTATACACCTGGCATGTGCAAATGGATATGTGAATCTGGCCATTTCTGAGGACTAGGGACAGGTGGTTCCTGGCTCTTCTCACCCCAAGGGCTCTCCACCAGTGCATTCCATCAACTCTGTTCACCCCTTGGTCAGAAGGCTGGAGAGAGTTGGGGTTCTCGAAACCCATTCCAGCTAGAGGGAGAAGCCATTCCCCGCTCTTTTCCCCTCTCCCTAAGTAGTTTCCTCTCTAGAGTCCAAGATATATGTGACTCTTCCCAGTCTTCTTCTTTAGTGAGCAGGGTGGTCTCTGCTGTGGAGTGGGGTAGGGAGGCAGGTCCACAAAGCCCAGGGCATTCTGGAGTCCTAGAGAGCACAGCAGCATATTTCTTAACCAATGAGGAGGCATGAGACCCCCAAATGCCACCTGACAGTCAAAGACCAAATCTGGGAATGCTGAAACAAGGCCTTTCTCTCTGTTAAAACTGGAAGGGAATTAGGGTTAAAAAGAGGCATGCCTCGGGGCAGAATGAAGGATGAATTAGGCTTAGAGATGTCTCCTGCACCTGTTACTTAGCAATAAGAAGTGTTTTACATTCTGTTTGGCCTTGTCAAAGCTCAGCAGCAGAAGATTCCCGTGGAAGCCACCTGCTTTGCCATAGTGGCCGCACCTATCAGAGAAAGTGCTCCATGAAGGTTTAATGAATAAACAAACCTGGTACGGCTAGTAAGACAAGGCTGAAATGGGAATAAGACATCCACAGAATTATGATAGCTCATTAAGGGAAACAGAGATGCTTTAATAGCATTTAGTAGAAAGAACGTGGGCCTGAGTCAGACCCACTTTGGGGGTTTACATCAAGCTCCCCCTCTGAGAAGCCCTCCTCAAGGTCTAAGTGAGCAGTGATAGCATCTTTCAGATCCCCAGCACAGCACCTGGCACAAAGGCGTGCATGCCATGATGATGCATCAGTGCAAGGGGAGTAAGTAAGCCTTCCTGCAGATTGTGCCTCCAAGCTCTGGCAGAGACTGGGCTCTGGCTGCATGGAGCATTGGTCAGCTCTTCCCTGCCTGAACTCTTCGCATGGAATTTCTCTCTTGCCACCTACATCCATGGTCTCTGCCAGACTTCTGTTCGGCAGCATCCCTAATCCGAACCCCTTAGCTCCCTAGAAAGGAATCTGGGGCATCTCAACACCTCCCAATACTGTGGGAGGCCTGATGACCCTAAACGTCCTCTAGATCTCTAAGAAAACAGATCAGTGTGAACACATCAGAATTAAGAATTTACCCGGGAACAAGATGCGGCTGATCATTCCCGGCATCACTATGCTAAACATGGGCAGCAGCTTCAAGTACCCACAAAGGACGCAGCCGCCTCTCACATGAGACATGTTCTTCCCTGCCAGGCATCGCTGGACAAAAATCTGCCAAGGAAACACAGATGGGTGAGGCGGGGGGTGGGGCTATCAGTGAATCAAGTGTGGGCTACCACGGCACAGACAGGATAACTGTGACCTGCTGCAGCAGCAGGATGTGCCCTCTGGTGGGTTCTTGCTAAGCTGCTCACCCCAATCGTCCAGGCATCTTCAGGGCAGGCAGGGCCAGAGGAGATGCACGTGACCAATAGCATGTTTTGCTCAGTGCACAGTTGCCTGAAGGGACAGGAATGGTGTGCGTGACCTTGGCCTCATTGTTAGCACTGCAAACCAATTACAGAGGCACAGTGCTTATGAACTGTCCCCTGGCAAGGACGAGACTCCCTCCTAGAGGGCACAGACTGTCCCTGCGGGGCAGAAGGAAGAGGGCCCTTGTGACATCAATCAAAGCAAAGGGTCCCCGGCACCAAAGGAATTTTCAGAACTGGGACCAACTTTGTTCATCTAAATTGAAATGAACCAGTATAGATCTTTAAAACGCAAAATCTCCTAGGAGATGTCTCACGACCCATTTCATAGTGCTCCTGCCATAAGAAGCAGTGTGCACTCAGGCCAAACAGAATGCTACAGCTGGCAGGTGGAGAAGCACTTAAGAAAGCACATAAAGACACGGTCCGGTGCATCACAACAATGCAGTATTATGTATGTACTCAAAGTTCGTTTCTGAAAAACATTTAGATAATGTGAAAAATGCTCACAGTGTGATGGTAACTAAAAGGCATACAGGATCCAACAGCAGGCTGTACACCGTGGCTCTGTACCGAGAAAAAAAGTGCACAGGAATAAAGTGACATGGTTAGAGTGGTTAATCCTGGCATGGGAAAATTAGCAGGCAGGATGGTCATCTTCTTTTTATGTTTTGTTTATTGTCCAAATGCATGATTTTAATAATAGGAGGAAGAGCCCCAAAGTGGTCCTCCTCATGCAACAGGTACTGTTTCTCAGGAGGTCCAATGGTATCCTGTTGCTGGCCTCTCAGTGAACGCAGGCTTCCACTTGAGCGGGTGTGGGTGGGCAGCCAGGCTGCATTTCCTGGTCTTTACTTAGCCCAGTGCACAGAAGAGCCAGTCTCTCAAGAGAGGGGATGAAGGAGGAGGGCAAGGACAGAAAGCTGGCTCTCATTCTGAGGCAAGGGTGATCAGAAAGGCAGTACATCATCCATGTAGGAAGTCCTAAGCACTTTTGTACATTATCATATATTACAAAGTGGGGCAAGGAGAGGACTATTGTTTAAAAATGGTGGTGGCCCAAAGTTAACAATTTTCCTTCCCTCAGATTGTTTGCTTCTCTTTTAATCAAACATTTTTCTTAAGTCACTTTCTTTACTAGTTAGAAGTTATGTATTCTACTTCTGTGTATTTAATAATGACCCGTAAAATTTTCACATAGATGCAACTTCAAGTCTACAAATACAAGTCTTCAAATCAACATCCCCACCCTTCTGAACAATTTAGAGTCCACAGACAGATTTAACTCCAAACTGTGGTCCAATATTTTAGTTTTGTTCTATTTTTCACTTCCTGTACTTGTAATTATTATTTTTCAGCCCATTTGCTCAGGACCTGTCACTATCTTTGCTATTTTTCTTGCTCATGAGTATTTCTTTTCTTTTCTTTTTTTTTTTTTAATTTTTTTTTTAACGTTTATTTATTTTTGAGACAGAGAGAGACAGAGCATGAACAGGGGAGGGGCAGAGAGAGGGAGACACAGAATCTGAAACAGGCTCCAGGCTCTGAGCTGTCAGCACAGAGCTCGACGCGGGGCTCGAACTCACGGACCGCGAGATCATGACCTGAGCCGAAGTCGGCCGCTTAACGACTGAGCCACCCAGGCGCCCCTTCTTTTCTTTTTTTAACGTACATCCTTCAGTCCTTCTTTAGGGAAGGTTATGTCTTAATTTTGCCCTTGGTCATGAATAATACCTTAGCTGGGCATGTACTTTAGACGTGACAGTTTCCTCAATGCCTTTGAAAATTTTACTCCTCTGCCATGGGTTATATGGTTGCAGCTGAGAAGCCTGTTGTTGGTATAACTGTCTTCTTTCATCAGTAATCTTTCCTCTTAGGTACCTTTCAAAATCTCCTTGTTTTCGATGTTCTGAACTTTCATTACGGTTTCATTCCATTTCTTTGTGTAGATTTGTAAATTATTTCTGCTTGAGATTCACTGTGATTCTGGAATCCAATGCTTCCTGCTCTTTTAGCAATGGCAAAACTTCTCAGCCACTTTCTCTTAAATATTGCTTCTCTCTCCTTTTCTTCTGGAGCTCCAACGAGATATATTTTAATCCTGATTCTCTCTTCCATGTCACTTTGTTTCCCTTTCATACTTTCCAGCTTTGTGCTTTCCATTTCTTCAGTTATCTCTTTCAGATGACTATTTTTCCCCTTCAGCTATGCTTAATCTGCTAGTTTTTTAATGTTTATTTATTTAAGTAACCTCTACACCTAATGTGATCTACGACTCTGAGATCAAGAGTTGCATGCTCCTCCCACTGAGCCAGCCAGGTGCTCCTTTAATCTGCTATTTTAACAGCTACTGAGTTTCACATTTCAGTAAGCCTATTTTTCATATCTAGAAGTTTGATTATTCAAATCTGACTGATCATTTTGGTAGAATGGTGTTAATGTTTTTAGTTCCATTTTTATTTCTTTAAACTTTTTTTTTTTGTATTTGGTATCGTATACCTCAATGTTCTGAAGTTTGGGGGTACTAATTCTGCTGTTTCTGGCTCAAGGTGGTTTGATTCTTCGTGTCTTCTAATTTCAGCTTAGGGGCTCATGTTGGGCAGGCATTCATTTGTGGGAATCCTGCAAGACCTCGGCTGAGGGTGCATCTCTCCAGGGAAAATCTGCCATTACTCCTGCCGGGTCAATGTGTAACAAATTTTGGATGAGTTTATGTTCATTTCTTCCCATGGGGTTTCCTTGACAATTCAGGGAATTAAATTAAATTAAAAATTTTAATTAAACACCTAAATGTATAGGAAGGCTAGTCTTCCCTTGTGAGTTCTCAGGGGAGAATTTTTCTTCCTCCTGGGGCTCAGGTTGATTTTGTTTGTTTGTTTGTTTGTTTGTTTTCAGCTATTTCTCCTTGCTGGTGGGCAGATATTTTCCCAGTCCACCTTTTCACTGAGGTAACAGCCTTCACTCTTCACCACTCATGAACTCAAGGCCTTTCTCCTGTTCTCACCTGGCCAGTTAAACCTAAGCCTCAGAAATCCTGGCTTGGCAAATGCTCTCAGGGCACCATAGGTGTTAGTGTCAGCTTAACTTTCTCTCTCTCTCTTTTATTTTATTTTTTTTTCAACGTTTTTTATTTATTTTTGGGACAGAGAGAGACAGAGCATGAATGGGGGAGGGGCAGAGAGAGAGGGAGACACAGAATCGCAAACAGGCTCCAAGCTCTGAGCCATCAGCCCAGAACCTGACGCGGGGCTCGAACTCACGGACCGCGAGATCGTGACCTGGCTGAAGTCGGACGCTTAACCGACTGCGCCACCCAGGTGCCCCTCTCTCTCTCTTTTAAATGTTTATTTACTTATTTTTGAGAGATAGAGAATATGAGCAAGGGAGGGTTAGAGAGGAGAGAGAGAATTCCAAGCAGGATCCACCCTGTCAGTGCAGAGCCCAACGTGGGGCTCAAACTCACCAACCGTGAGATCATGACCTGAGGTGAAACCGAGAGTCAGATGCTTAACCAACTGAGCCACCCAGGTGCCCCTCAGCGTAACTCTCTTGAGTTCACTACTCTCTTTGGTTTTTTGGCCTCTGGAGATTTTCTTCCTTTCTTATGAGCTTTGCTATGACTACAAAAAGATGCTTGTTACATTTTACCCAGTAGAACTAGAAAATTTTGTTATGGGAGGTAGTTCAGGAAATCTAGTTTACCCATTGTCAGAAGTGAAAGGCCAGGGGCAACTTTTAAATTTGCAGAAGAAACTGAAAAGAAAAATACAGAAAGATCAATAAACATGTGGTAAATAGATCGGCAAAAATACAAATAAAAAAAATCCTCAGAGCTATATTAGAGAGAATACCCATGTATTGTGCTCTGGATCTCATTTCTTGTCTTTCCACTCACTACATTTTAAAGACCCTTTAGTGTTGCTACATGTCATCTAGTCCATTGCTCTCATGACTGTATGGTATTCCACAGTCTTACTGCCCCCCTGCCATTTTATCTACCCACTTAGGAGTAACCAGCACAATCAACACTGTGATCAACATTGCATATTATAGTCCCTCATGAACTTGCATGAGGATTTTTTAGGTAGCTTCTGAGGAACACCACTGCTAGCTCAGAGTACGATATACTTACTTTTATAAAATACTGCTGGATTACCCTCCAGAACAGATCACACCAGTCTATACTTCCACCAGAAGTGCACGAGTTTTTTTTGTTTTTGTTTTTGTTTTTTTTTTGAGAGAGACAGAGATAGTTTAAGTGGGGGAAGGGCAGAGAGAGAGAGGGAGACAGAGAGTCCCAAGCAGGCTCCACACAGTCAACACAGAGCCCAACTTGGGGCCTGAATTCATGAAACCACGAGATTATGACCTGAGCTGAAACCAAGAGCTGGGTGCTTAACTGGCTGAGCCACCCAGGAGCCCTTGTGTGAGGGCTGACCTGGGCATTATCAATCTTTCTAATTTTGCCAGTCTCCTTGTGGTTTTAAGCTGTACTTATGTGATAACTCTGGGTTATATGCTTGTTAGCATTAATGCTTGTTTGAATTTCCTTTTTTATAAATGGCCTGTCATTATCTTTTGCCCACATTTCTATTGGAGCTCCTTTTTCTTATGGATTTGCTATTGTTTCTTATTCATGATAAATCCAATAATCTTCTCTAATCTGTCATCTGTTGACTTTATCTATGATACTCTTTGTTAAAAAGTACTTATTATGTATGGGCCCCTGGGTGGCTCAGTCGGTTAAGTATCTACCTCTTGGTTTTGGCCCAGGTCATGATCTCAAAGTTCGTGGGCTTGAGCCCTGTGTTGGGCTCTATGCTGACCAGATTCTCTCTTTCTCCTTTGGGATTCTCCCTCCCTCCCTCTCTCTCTGCCCCTCCCCTGCTCATGCTCACCAATACTCTTTCTCTCTTTCAAAAATAAACTTAAAGAAGTAAAAAATAAAAAGTACTTATATGTAATGTAATCAAACCAGTATGATTTGTACTCCCTGATATGTCTTAAAAATATTCTGGGGGCGCCTGGGTGGCGCAGTCGGTTAAGCGTCCGACTTCAGCCAGGTCACGATCTCGCGGTCCGGGAGTTCGAGCCCCGCGTCAGGCTCTGGGCTGATGGCTCAGAGCCTGGAGCCTGTTTGCGATTCTGTGTCTCCCTCTCTCTCTGCCCCTCCCCCATTCATGCTCTGTCTCTCTCTGTCCCAAAAATAAATAAAAACGTTGAAAAAAAAATTAAAAAAAAAATATTCTGTTACCCTTCCTTAGATGCATAGTTTCACTTCCCACATTTAAGTCTTTAACCCACCTGAAGTCTACCTTTGTACTAAGTGCTGGCTGGGGGTGAAGTTTTGTTACTCCAGATAGTCCATTGGTTTTCTAACAACTAAGTTTTCTAACAAAGAGTATGTATCTCCCCCATTTCTTTCTTTCTTTCTTTCTTTCTTTCTTTCTTTCTTTCTTTCTTTCTTCCTTCCTTCCTTCCTTCCTTCCTTCCTTCCTTCCTTCCTTCCTTCCTTCCTTTCTATTCATTCATTTAGTTAGTTAGTTAGTTAGTTAGTTAGTTAGTTAGTTTTATTTTAAGTTAGGCTCCAAGCCCAACCTGGGGCTTGAATTCATGACCCTGAGATCAAGAGTCTGTATGCTCTACTGACTGAGCCAGCCAGGTGCCCCACACCCCTGTTGATTTCTGAAGCCTCCTTAGATACATATTAAATTCCTATAAGTACATAAATCTGCCTGACCTCTTTATTCTGTTCCATTAGTCTGTGTGTCTATTCTTGGATATTTCAAACTATTTTTATTATTGCTACCTTGTAGATGTTTAAATATCTGGTTTGGCAAGTTCTCTCCCTTTGTTGTTCAGTTTCAAACTTGGGTTAGGGATTTATAGCATTTTCTTCTTCCACAAAATGTTTAAACCTTTTTTTTATTGTGATATAAATATGAAAGTATTTTTTTATTGTGATATAAATATGAAAGTACACGGTAGCACATTAACAGCATACAGTCTACACCCATCCAAATCGAGATGGAACATTGCAGGTACCCCAGAAGCCTCCCTGTGGCTCTTTTTTTGCTTTTTGTTTTGTTTTGTTTTTTTGCAAAAATTAAGGTGAAATTCACATAATATATAGTTAACCATTTTAAAGCGAACAATTCAGTAGCATTTAGTGCATTCCCAATCTTATGCAATTACCACCTCTCTCTACTTTCATCACCCCAGAAGAACAAACACATCCATTAAACTGTCCCCCTCCATTCCTTCTCTCCCAGCCCCTGGCAAGCACTAATTGGATTTCCATCTCTATGGATTTGCCTACTCTCGACATTTCATATAAAAGGAATCATACATTAGGTGATCTTTGTGTCTGGCTTCTTCCACTTAGTATAATGTTTCCGAGATCCATCTAGGTTGTAGTATGTGTTCCTACTTCATTCCTTTATATGGCTGAATAGTATTCCAATGAATGGATACACATTCTGTTTTATTAATTCATTGGTGGGTGAACATTTAGATTGTTTCCACCTTGTGGTAATTGTGAATAATGCTGCTACGTGGGACTTTTTTTCATCTCAACCCCTTCCCTTGCTCCAGATATGACTGCTTTCATGACTACTTTATTTCTTCCTTGCTTTTCTTTATATATATGCCAATTACTATGTATTCCTAAATGACACAAGTTAGCACTGCCTGTGTTAAACTTTATAAAAATGTAATCATGCAGTGCCTAGCCTTCTGTGTCTAAAATCAAGCTGTGAAGATTCATCCATGTTATTGTGTATAGCTGTACTTTCTTTTCATTTCTCTATTGCCTTTGCACCATGTGAATATTTCACAGCTTACTTAATGAGCTACCATTGATAGTGAGCCATATAATTTTCAGAATTTGAGTCCTTAAAAAAATCCAACTGAAATAGTGATTGGTTACATTTAATTTACAGACTCAGTTGGGGAAAACTGACATGTTTTTCATGTGATAATGATGGGAAGAAGGAAACAATGAAAATAGATGATGGGTTATAATGGGACTGTGAGTGAAATTCCTTTTAAACAGAATTTCTGATGAAGTTCTTTAGGCAATAAGTAAAGACTGGAAGGGAAACCTGATCACTGAGTGCAGTCAGGCCCGCTGTTGCCTATAGAGACTGGTAAAGCCTAGAATGCACTGAGACCGACCAGCCTCCAATGTACCTGCACCACGTCTAATTACCTGATCAGCGCACCAGTAGTATAAGGAGAGGGTGGAGACGCCAAAGACAATTCCAGGCCATGGGAGATCTCCACTGACGGGATCTCGGAAGATATGGAAAAAATCCAGGCGAGGAATAAAACACTCTGGCTTGGCAGTCCAATTTCCTTCATGGATTGGGTCTGGCTTACTATGTGGGTATTTATTCAGTAGCTCCTGGTATCCTCCCACTTCCTGAAAGGCTTAAAACACGATAAAATTTATCAGTATCTTACACCACACAATAACATATGTTTGAAGACCCAAGATTACAAAGTCAGACCCAGTTTCATTGACTGTACCTAGTATAAAAAGCACAATGGACTGAAAAATAGTCAAAACTGTATGTGCCTAGGGGCGCCTGGGTGGCTCAGTCGGTTAAGTGGCCGACTTCGGCTCAGGTCATGATCTCGCGGTCCGTGAGTTCGAGCCCCGCGTCGGGCTCTGTGCTGACAGCTCAGAGCCTGGAGCCTGTTTCAGATTCTGTGTCTCCCTCTCTCTCTGACCCTCCCCCGTTCATGCTCTGTCTCTCTCTGTCTCAAAAATAAATAAACGTTAAAAAAAATTTTTTTAAGAAAAAAAAAAAAAACTGTATGTGCCTAAAAAAAGACATCATCTCTTCCAAAGAGAAATGGGAGTACAGTGGACATTGGTGGCTGTGTGTGCCCCCCTCCCCCCACTCCAGCTTCTGGTAGCAGAACCCCTCTTTCCAGTTGCATTCCATCCGGTGTTGCTTAGGTGGGCCTCATCAAACAGTCCACCATTCCAATATGGCATGTGCCCCAGGCCTGGCCAATGCTCTGTCCCATGGGCAACAGCTGATGTGTCAGGAATAGATATGAGACCCAAACTGGGCTAATCAGAATCTGTCCCAGGAGACTTCTGCTTAAGGAACCAAAAAAGCCTGCTTCCTTTCTTTGGGGTTCTGAGCTAGTCTGGCAGTTTGAAGCTCTCTTGTTTACCTGGTTCATTCAGAACCCTGGATCTAGGCATCACTGAAGGTACTGTGCCTCTGGAATTTTTACTTACGTGAGCCAAGAAGGTATTTACTTGCTTATGCTAGTTTTGAACTAAAGTTCTATCACAAGCTTTCTAAAGAATCTTGGCTAGAATAGAAATTAATATTCACTTTCCTGCAATGCCAACAAAATGCTTATAAAATGTCATATTTGAAATTTTCCTCAGTCATAGCATTCATCTGTCAATATCCTAAGTGGTATACAATCTTAACATTAAAAAAAATGTTTTTAAAAGGCACAAAACACCCATAGTTCCACTTAACTAAAAATTTCCCTTTATTTTGGCATATTAAAACATGTTCCTTTGATACAGATTTGATTATTGAAATGTGTTCAGAATCATTTAGAGTTGAAAGTAGTCAATAAAAGAATACTGAGTGACTATAAAATGAATAAGACACCTCATGGTACTTCTATAAATTAATTCCATATGGATTAAAAGAAAGCAAAATACTAAACTACAAAGTTATTAGAAAAAAACAGAATTATCTTCATGAACTACAGAACTAGAGAGTTGAGTTAGTCTACCTTCTTAGACAAGTCACAAAATGGAAGAGGAAAGTTGGTAAATTTGACCTCAAAATTTAAAATTTATATGACTGAAATCAAGTTAAAAAGCTGTCAGGCCAAAAGAAGAAATTTGTGTCATGTATAAAGAACTCTTATACAACAATAGCCAAGGGAAACTACTCAGAAGAAATATAGTAGAGAATATGAGTGGGTAATTTACAAAAGAGGAACTCCAAATGGCCACTAAGTATATAAAATGATGCTTAACTTCACCAGTCTCTAGAAACTTCCAGTTAAAACAAGAATGAGATACTTTTTTTTTCCTTCCCCTATTTGGCAAATTTTTAAAAAGGCTTAAAACATCAATTATTGGCTGTAAGGGTAGGGAACACATATTCTGACATATATTGCTGAGAATATAAGTTAATACAGCCACTTTGGAGGATAATTTAGGGTATGTCTCAACAAAGCTGGGTTTATTCCAGGAATTCAAGATTGAGTTAACACTGAAAAATAATTCAATATAATTCACCATGTTAACAGAATAAGGGAGAAAAATAATATAATCATCTCAGTAAATGTGGAAGAAACACTTGCTACAATTCAAAACCTGTTCATGATAGGGGTACCTGGGTGGCTCAGTCGGTTAGGCATCCAACTCTTGATTTCAACTCAGGTCATGGTCTCACAGTTCATGAGTATGAGTCTCATGTCGGGCTCTGTGCCGACAGCACAGAGCCTGCTTGCAATTCTCTCTCTCTCCCTCTCCCTCTGCCCTTCCCCCACTGGTGTGCTCTTGCTCTTGCTCTCCCTCCCTCTCTCTCAAAATAAATAACTTAAAAAAAAAAACAAAACACGTTCATGATAATTGTAGCCAACTAGGACTAGAAGGGAACTTGTTAGCCTGGCAAAGAGTATTTACCAAAAATTGACAGCAAATGATTTATTTAATGGTGAAATATCCAAAGATTTCTCTCTAAATTGGCAAAGAGACAAGGATGTCTGTTGTCTCTACTTCTATTCAACACTGTACTCATGACCCTGGCCAGTGCAATAGGCAAGAAAAGGAAACAAAAGGTATAAAGTTTGGAAAGCAAGGGAAAAAAAGATAACTTCTTGACCTGGGTACTTGTTACCAGGCTGTGTTCACTTTGTGATATCTCATCTAGCTACATACTTTGACTTGTGCACTTTTCAATAAAGTTTACTACAAATACAAAAACAAAAAGATTTAATAGATCTCCATTCACGGACATAGAAATTTGCCCAAGATATAGAACCAGTGGTGGAATAACAGACTGCAAAATTTTGTTTTGATTCTGTTAAAACATGTCTCTCATAGATTAAAAAAAGATTGTATACATGAAGAATATATCTGGAAGGATATATACAAAACTAATAATACTAGTTGTCTCTGGAGAGTTGAATTGAGAAACTGAGAGCAATGAATATTTCACTGTGTACCTTTTTGTTTTGTTTACCTTGTGTGTGTACTACCTAAAAATTAAAAACAAAAAATTGCAACTGGATGTGTATGGGGTCTCATGGCGACTAGTTTGGACGATACTCATTTGGATGTATAAGATCTTGTATATTTTTAAAAGAAAACAATTATCCCATTAGTTTAAAATAGTTTACCTACCAACATGAATGCCCTAATTATAAAAAAATCCCATTACATTTCTCAGAAAAAGTCTTAGTCTGTTTGGGCAGTTATAAGAAAATACCATAGGTTGGGTGACTTACAAACTGCAAATATTTACTTCCCATGGCTCTGGAGGCTAGGAAGTCTGAGGTCAAGTGCTGGATGATTGGGTGTCTAGTGAGGATCCCCTTCCTGGCTCATACATGGCTATCTTCTCAATGTGTCCTCAAATGGTGGAAAAAGTGAGGGGGCTCTCTGGGGTCTCTTTTATAAGGATACTAATGCCATTCATGAGTGCTCTGCTCTTATGACCTAATCAGTTCCCAATGGCTTCGCCTTGGGGGTTAGGATTTCAACATATGAATTTTGGGAGGGAGACGAATATTCAGTCTATAAGAGTAGAGAATATATAATTACTTAGAGATGTAATTGGTAACATTAAATGGAATATTCCACCTGCTCCTAAAGTTTAGTCAGATGTCATTTTCAACTATTGGGGTGAGGGTGGCGGATTTAAAAACTGTTGATGTTTAACACTAGTACGCAATTAAAAACAATGGCTTAGTGTGTTCTATAGTTTAGGGCTTTGTCATTCAAATTAGTCAGTGCTTCCCAATTCATTAAAAAAATTCCTTAGATTATGCCTGATGTGTATTTTGTGTTCCAGCAATATAGCTCTGAGTACACCTCATGGCACACTAATGCTTACTGAATGTTAAGAGGACTATGTGACTCTGTTTGATTCTATCATTTCTCATTCAATGGGGCTCAACAACATGCTTTACGGAACCACAGTCCTTCAACTGTATTCACGTACCATTTCAATAATTTTTCAATACCTGAGACAAGAGTTTTTCCTTCCAGATTTATGTAAGACCAATCTCTGACCCATGGAGCAGTGGGTAACACCAACCTCACTGAGGTCATTATCTTAGCTAGTGGGAGAAAACTATCATTTTAAGGTTAAATGTACTTGCCACTACAGGTATTATAATATGTTAGTTCACATAGTGGAATTTGGTGTTTAGAGACTCAGCTATGAGTTCTGCTCTTAGTGTGTCTCATGAGCAAGTTACTTAACTGAATAACTCAGTTTCCTCATCTGTAAAATGGGGATAACAATAGTAGTTATGCATCACAGTGATGTGAAGATTAATATGGATAAATGCCTATGTGGTACCTGATACTCGGTTTCTGTTAGCTATTATTTTCATTCTTACCACTTAATAAGCATCTACCATGTGCCTCAGACTGCACACTGTGTGCAGGATACAATGGTTTTGGTTCTTAAGAAGTTCTGGAGCTGAGGGGTATGATTTATTTATATGACACAATCAATGAACAATCAAGGTATGTATCACAAAAATATCAAGGTGTGTGTAGTAGTGATTTGAGTCCACAGAAGAAAAGACACGTAGATGGAATAATAACAGAATCACATTTTTGGAGGTGGGTCTTGTGTTGACCTTGATGGGTAGATTTAACTGCGTGGATGAAAAGGAGAGGGGCTTATAACTGCAGAGGAAGAGCATGGGCTGAGGCACAGAGGTGGGGATGAGTGTGGTGGGCCAGTCGATCACTGTCCCAAAGCACTACAGTTTGTCATTACCACTTCTATGTCTTCTGAAGTGAGCAAAGGTTTACTTCTCAACTTTTTGTGTGACCTGAGATAATGCTCTAAGGGATCTGAGGGCCTCAGTCTCCTCATCTGCAAAAGATGAAAGTGCTGAAATGGCCCAGACAGCAATCAGACTGGAAGATTCCAGCCATGGTGCCCAGTCTTCCAAGATTGACTTACCAAAGACCATTAACAAGATTGATCCCAGAACCATAACAGCAGCATGTAAGGTATCAGTATAAACTACAGCTGCAAAACCACCTGAATAGGTAGGAGAAAGAGAAACAAAAGCAACATTTGAGACTCTGCTGAAAGTCACTTCTGTATCCCTATTCTACATGCTTGTCTCCTTCCAGATCTCTCCATTCACACCTTTGTACCTTTAAGTCAGTAGGTCTTACAATAACATGCTTAGTCTTGGTACATCCTGTGTTCTCTCTTTAACATCCCTCATGATCTTTTGTTGGATTCTTATCTTGCCCTTCTATGTCCCAATTTCCCTTTACTTCCCATTTTTTGGATGAATGAAAAGCTGGTAGTTTTCCTAAGCAAAAAAGTACATCTTTAATCACAAAATCTCAGTTTGGAAGCAACAGTTAGCAGCATCTCTGGTCTCAACATGCTAGATGCCAGCAGCACCACCCCCCCCTCCCTGGTTGGGACAACCCAAAATGTATCCAGACATTACCAAATGTCACCTAGGAAGAAACCCCCAACTCCCACTCCCTTGTGCATTGAGAGCCATTAATTGAGTGCATTCCATACCCTACCCTGATCCTCCTCACTCAGACAGTGGTAAACTGCCAGGGACACTCACCAGCATCCAAGATTTGCACTGTGGCTGGAAAAAACAAGTGATGAGGGCCTCCGCTCTCAAAACTTAGGCAGAGGGGCGCCTGGGTGGCGCAGTCGGTTAAGTGTCCGACTTCAGCCAGGTCACGATCTCGCGGTCCGTGAGTTCGAGCCCCGCATCGGGCTCTGGGCTGATGGCTCAGAGCCTGGAGCCTGTTTCCGATTCTGTGTCTCCCTCTCTCCCTGCCCCTCCCCCGTTCATGCTCTGTCTCTCTGTGTCCCAAAAATAAATAAACGTTAAAAAAAAATTTTTTTTTAAAACTTAGGCAGAGACTCTGGGACAGAATTGCCTACATAAAAGATGCTATCTGATGGCCTGATCAGGTTACCAGGTGACCAGGATGACTGAAGCTGCTGCCTCCCCCTAATTCCTTTTCTGTTTCTACTCTTTTACTTAGCAGCCTGCAGTGTCAGATGATGGCCCGCTCCAAACATGATCACTGCCATCCTTGCCAATGCCCTTAGAAAGCCCCCACTGGCCTGATCTGATTTCTAGAGGTAGTATGTCACTTAGGCACCCTGCCTCCATTATTTTCACTGTTCCAGCCCCTCAGGCCTAGCAGTATGATCTACAGACTTAGGGAAAATGCAAAAGCTGAGACCCTCTGCCTCCTTGTCTACTAGCACTCCACTATAAGTAGTAGAGCTTTGGGGCGCCCGGGGTGGCTCAGTCGGTTAAGCATCTGACTTTGGGTCAGGTCATGATCTCATAGCTCGTGGGTTCAAGCCCCACGTCAGGCTCCGGGTTGACCGCTCAGAGCCTGGAGTCTGCTTCGAATTCTGTGTCTCCCTCTCTCTCTGCAATTCCCCCACTCACACTCTCTCTCTCTCTCTAAAATAAACATTAAAAAAAAAAGTAGAGCTTTTGTGTCAGTATAAATACCTGTGTGGTTACAGTAACCTCACCTGTGATGGTATAAATGCCCATAATTGTCAGTAAGATTATGGTGGCCAGGTAGACGTCTAACCCCAAAACCAGTCGCATGAACATGGCACCAGTACAGATCTCCACCTGAAATGAGTACAAAGGAAACAGGCTGCATTTTCATTTCCAGCTCAATCAACAGCAGTATCATAAAGACCCTAGAAGCCATCTGCAGGAAGTGGTCTATGGTTAGCACATTCACTCCGTCACTAATGGACATGGGGTGAGGGCTACCCAAGTTCTGTTGGGAAAAAAGGCTTATGCCCCATGAGTTCAACCAAGGTCAGCACTTTTAGGGCTTGGGTCAATCCAATGAATTCAGTTCATACAAAACTTGGCCTATTCCTCTCTAGACCCTTAGAACAGGGAACATGCTCAGAGAGTGAGCTGTTCTTAGAGTTCTGCCATTGGAAGAGGCAAAGGGGACAGCTCAACAGGGGCTGGTAAGTTTTTTCTCTAAAAGACCAGATAATAAATACTGTAGGCTTTGCAGGCCACATACTGCCACTGCTTTCCACAACCATTTAAAACTATAAAAAGCCATTCTCAGCTCAAGGACTGTACAAAGCAGAACATTAGGTTGATTGGCCTGCAGGCTGGATTTGTTGATCCCTGGTTTGGCTGGCACTGATTTTAAAGCATCTGCATATCATTTAACTGGCTAATCTCTTGCCTAGTTATTCTGGTCTCCAAAGTAGGGATGCAATGGGCAGAGATCCTCCCTTTATTCATCTATCCATTTATTCACCAAATGTTTACTGTGCACCAGCATAGCAGATACTCGACAGGGTTCAGAAGACACAGGGCTACTAAAACTCAGTTGCTGCCCCCAAGAAGCTTATATTTAGTGACAGAAACTAAATAGGCAATTTCTATGTAGTGTGATAGGTGATACTCACATTGTATGTCTGTATGCATGCGTGCATGTATTTATTTATTTATAGTTTTTATTATAGAGACAGTATGAGTGGGGGAATGGGGCAGAGGAAGAGAAAGGATCTTAAGCAGGCTCCACCCTCAGTATACAGCTCGATCACATGACCCTGGGATCATGACCTGAGCCAAAATTAAGAGTTGGACACTCAACCAACTGAGCCACCCAGACGCCCCTCATTCAGTCAGTTAAACACACACACACACACATTTATCAAGTGCCTTAGGTGCCAATAATTTTCTCAGCACAGTGGGTAATGCAGTGAACAAGCCAGGCAAGGCTCTCGGCCTCAACAAGCTTGCACTGAAGTGGAGAAGGCAGATAATCAGAAAGGTAACAGATAAATTATTCTCACATGGTAACAAGTATTACAAAAAAAACCACCAAAACATAACAATGAAATAGAGATTGACTGGGTACACCCATGGAAGGCCTCTTCAAGGAGGTGATATTTGAAATTTTTTTTTGAGGGGGGGTACATTCTAGACACAGTGTGAAACAAATGTCAGGGGCTTTCAGTGGGAATAAGACTGGCAGGTTGGAGAAACATAAGGCAGGCAGTGGGGCCAGAGCCTGGTGAGAACAGGGGAGGAGACCAGGAGACAAGGCTGGAGAGGCAGGGACTAGAACAGAACATCCTCACAGATCATAACAAGGGGCTTAGGTTTTCTTGAAAGGGTGGTGGAAATTCCTGGATTGTTTTAAGCAGAGGAGTGACATCACTTAATGACATGACATAGATTAAGGCCAAGGTTCTCTAGAAACGCGGAGGGACCTGTAACTGAGGCTTGGGAGACAAATAAGATGCCCCTGCCTTTATTTTTTGCAAAGAATTATTAAGCTATTTTTTTTTCTCTGCTCTAGCTTAGACAGAAGAAAACGTAAGTAATTTATGGGGCCACAGAGTGAACTGCTGACACCAATCTAGCACCATCCTACCTACTGAATTTTTGTTGTTTTGTTTTGTTTCTTGGGCTGGCTTTTATACAACTCACCGAGATCTTATTGAAGATATAGAGGAATAAGTACAGAATAGCAAGGAGGAACTGGATCCGGAAGCCACCAAACCTCTTCCTCAAATATTCTGGCATTGTCATCACCTGTACAAGCAATAAGAGAAGTCACCACCAGACAGAGTGCCAGAAGAGGCAGACCCACAGGGACGCGCCTTGATCACAATGTGCTGGTCATCATAGAGACACAGCTGATGGGGGGGGGGGGCCCAGGGATAGAAGTTGCAGCAGGGTCACCCACTCTGGCTTTGGATTCCATGCCACCTGTTAAGATGGGGGAAATAAGAAAGGAGAAGCAATAGTATTATTGTCTTCAAGAAGCAATCTCCTGAAAGTAGAAGGAAATCTAGCCATTTGAAGATGTCTCATGATGACAAATCACTTTCATGAAATAATCCTAGAGCAAATTCAAATACCTTATCACACACTACAAATATAACAAGTACTCAGGAGAGACAGAATTTGGGGCGCCTGGGTGCTCAGTCGGTTAAGCAACCAACTTCGGCTCATGTCATGATCTCACGGTTTGTGAGTTCGAGCCCTGCGTCGGCTCTGTGCTGACAGCTCAGAGCCTGGAGCCTGCTTCGGATACTGTGTCTCCTTCTCTCTCTGCTCTTTCCCCGCTCATGCTCTGTCTCTCTCTCTCTACTTCAAAAAGAAATAAAAACATTAAAAAAAATTTTTTTTTTCAACGTTTATTTATTTTTGGGACAGAGAGAGACAGAGCATGAACGGGGGAGGGGCAGAGAGAGAGGGAGACACAGAATCGGAAACAGGCTCCAGGCTCTGAGCCATCAGCCCAGAGCCTGACGCGGGGCTCGAACTCACGGACCGCGAGATCGTGACCTGGCTGAAGTCGGATGCTTAACCGACTGCGCCACCCAGGCGCCCCAAGAAATAAAAACATTTAAAAAAAATTTTAAGGAGAGACAGAATTTGACTCAACAGCTCTCCAACCTGGTCATCTGTGCCCATGCTCTCATGTGTGTGCTGTTTGCCCCAAACAATCCTGTTCATTTCGATTTCCATGGTCTCAGGCTGCGTGCACCCCACGACAGGGATGCACGCATGCACAAGATGTCTCTTTGTTCATTAGATGCTTGGACCCAAGTGCAGTGCCAGGCTCACAGTAGGTGAATAAATTTTTGTTAAATGTATACTGTTCCACTTCTATCCCAAGTATCCTCATATGGGCTGCTGTCACTGAGTGTAACAGAATGGCTTAAGCAACAGAAATATTATTATCTCTCAGTTCTGAAGGCTAGAAGTTCAAGGTGTCAGCAGGCTTGGTTCCTTCTAGGGGCCGTGCGGGAAGGATCTGTCGAGGCCTCTCTCCTTGGCTTGTTGATGGCTGTCATCTCCCTGTGTCTTCCTATTCTCTTTCCTTTGTACATGTCTGTGTCCAAATTTCCCCTCTTATAAAGTCATACTGGATTAGGGCCCACCCTAATCATTTCATTTTAATTACTTTGAAGATCTTATCCCAAAATGCAGTCATAACCTGAGGTAATTTCCTTGGGATTATGGCTTCACCATTGCAGATGCTAGACAACATGGCAAATAAGCCTTTCACATTTTTAATGCCGCTCTACAAATATTTACAAATTTTAACAGTTTTATAAGGCATAATTTATGCACATAAAACTCTCTCATTTTAAGTGTAAAGTTTGATGAGTTTGGGAAAATGTACACAATTATACAATCACTGCCATATTAAAATATTAATCATTCTCTTCTTAAGATGGATTTTATTTATCTATTTATTTATTATGGGGGGGAGGGGCAGAGAGACAGAATCCCAAGCAGGTTCCATGCTCAGTGTGGAGCCTGACACGACGCTCGATCCCACCACTATAAGATCATGACCTGAGCTGAAATCAAGAGTTGGATGATTAACCGACTGCTCCACCCAGGTGCCTCACAAAATATTAATCATTCATAATGCCCTCCATAAACCCCCTAGGGTTTGCAGTTAAGGCCTTCAACCCACCCTTGGTCCTAGCTGTCCCCACGGATTGGCTTTTCTAGAATTTTAAATAAATAGAATCATATACTATGTACTTTTTAATGTCCTGCTTCTTTCACTGGCCTGATGTTCTCGGTTGAGATTCAACCACATTGTTGCATGATCCCTCTTTCATGCTGAGTAGTATACCACATCACATGTTGTTTTTCTACTCTCTTACTGTAATTTAGATTATTTCTAGATTTGGCTATTAGGAACACAATTGCTATGAAGCTTCATGTACAAATTTGTGTGTATACACATGTTTTCATCTCTCTGGGGTTGGCAAAGATCTATGTCCAGGGAAATACTACTGACTGGGTGGTCAGGTTTAATTTGTGAACAAACTGCCAAAGTGTCATGGCCATGTGATTCTGTATTCCCTCAAGAAATGTATGAATCCCATTTGCCCCACACCCTCTCCAGCTCTTCTCCTCTTAGTCATTCTGGAACAGTGGTATCTTAAGTAGCATTTTCCTACTACAAAAAAAACATATCTTTCAAAGAGTTAAAGGTTATGGGGCACCTGGGTGGCTCAGTTAGTTAAGCATCCAACTCTTTTTTTTTTTTTAATGTTTATTTCTGAGACAGAGCATGAGTGGGGGAGGGGCTGAGAGAGAGGCAGACACAGAACTGGAAGAGGCTCCAGGTCGAAGCTGTCAGCACAGAGTCGACGTAGCTCGAACCAAACCGTGAGATCATGACCTGAGCTGAAGTCAGTCGCTCAACCGACTGAGCCACCCAGGCGCCCCAACATCCAACTCCTGATCTCAGTTCAGGTCATGATCTTGCAGTTTGTGAGACTGAGCCCCATGTCGGGCTGCAAGTTGACAGCGCATAAACTGCTTGGGACTCTCTCTCTCCCTCTGCCTCTTCCCTGCTCAGGTGCACTCTCTCCCTCTCTCAAAATAAATAAATAAACTTAAAAAAAATAAAATTTTAGGGGTGCCTGGGTGGCTCAGTTGGTTAAGTGTCCAGCTCTTGACTTTGGCTCATGTCATGATCTCATGGTTTGTGAGTTTGAGTCCCACATCGGGCTCTGTTCTGGAAACAGAGCCTGCTTGGGATTCTCTCTTCCCCTCCCCCCCAACTTGTGCTCTGTTTCTCTCTCTCTCAAAATAAAAAATTTTTAAATGTTTATTTATTTTGAGACAGACAGAGAGAGAGAGAGAGAGAGAGAGAGAGAGAGAGAGAGAGACTGAGTGCGAGTGGGGAGGGGCAGAGAGAGGGAGACACAGAATCTGAACCAGGCTCCAGGCTCTGATCTGTCAGCACAGACAGAGCCCAATGTGGGGCTTGAACTCACGAACTGCAAGATCATGACCTGAGTTGAAGTATGACACTTGACCAACTGAGCCACCCAGGTGCCCCTAAAAATAAATAAATAAACTTAAAAACAAAAATTTTATTTTGAAGTCCCATATATCAATTTCCTCCTTTATGGTTTTAGGTTTTTTGTGTTCTGGTTGAGAAATCTTTCCCTACTTAATCACTTTATTCTTCTTTATTTTGTTTTGCAATAAGGTTTTTTTAAATTAGCTTTAGGTGTACAAATAATTATTTGATATTTGTATATATTTCATCTACATTTTTGAAGAGTACTTTTGCTGGATATGGAATTTGTGGTTGACATATTTTTATTCCTTTCAGTATTTACATATGTCATCCTAATGTTTTCTGGCTTCCATTGTATCTGATCAGAAGTCATCCATTACCTGTATCATTTCCTCCCTGCATATAATGTATTTTCTTTTAGTTCTCTCAAAATGTCCTCTTTATCTTTACTTTTAGCAGTTTGACTATGATGTTAACCTAGGTGTAGCTTTGTGTTCATTGGTGTTTGTTAAGCTTTTTGCATGGAAAATTAACATTTTTCACCACACTTGGGATACTTTCTTACTATTTCTTCAAAAAAATTTTTTCTGCCTCTTTCTTGCTCTCCTTTCTGGGATACCAATTACATGTACGTTGGACTACTTGATATTGTATCACAGGTCTCTGAGGCTTTGCTCCTTTTTCTTCAAAAATTTTTCCCTTCTGTTCTTTCTCTTGGGTAATTCTTATTGAATTCACTGATTCTCTCTTTTGTCATTTTGTTTGTGCTGTTGAGTTCCTCCTATGTATTTTTCATTTCAGCTACTGTGCTTTTTAACTTTAGAATTTCCATTTGGTTCTCTTCTATAGTTTCAGTTTCTCTGTTGAGAGGCTCTATTTGTTCATTCATTAGTATCACATTTTCCTTTATTTCTTTGAACATATTTATAATAGTAGGTTCAAAGCCTTTTTTTTGTTAAATCAACATCCGGGCCTGCTCATTTATTTACTGCTTTTTCTTCTGGAGTGTGGGTCACATTTATATTGCCATTTCTTTGTGTGTCTAATAATTCCTGGTTGCAGACTGGCCATCATAGATCATATGATGTAGCATTCCACAATCTGCTTTGTTCTTCTGAAGATTGCTGTTTCTTGTTGTTGTTGTTGTTTTGTAGGCAATTAACTTACCTGGACTCAAACTGCAACATCTTTCATGTCATCCCACCTCCCACTCCTACACTGAAGTTTATAGCTGCTGATGTCTATGATTGTTTTTTCAGCTTCTAGCTGCTGCTAATTTAGCCTAGTCCTATAGAGGTTTTCTTTGCACTTGAGTAGTCTCACAGTCAGTCAAGGTTTCATGCAGAATTTATGCCAAGTTTATAAACTTTGATTTATACTCAAAGTTAATTCCCTCTTTGTCTCCCTTGTTTTTGGTGCTCCCACAAAAGTTTCCTGTTGCTTTGTTAGCCCTCTGTTCTCTCCTCTGTTATGGGTAAGACTTGTTCGCCACTGCCTACATTGTGTGGGTTGGGGAATGTACTCAGTCCTAGGCACTGTAAAGTCACAGATCTCACACGTATAGCTCTATCTCTGTTAAGATAGAGCTCCCTTTGGTTTCTGTCTTTTTTTTTTTTTTTTTTGGCTCCCTGGGTTCTCATGCATGCATCTGTACTTTGGTGGTCAGCCAGGGATCTGAGCTTTTTCTATCTTATTTTAAAATCCCCCTCTACCTCAAGGACATAAAGATATTCTACACTTCCTTATAAAAATTCAAAATCTTTTGCCTTTCCTATTTAAGTCTTTAATCAATCTAAAATTATTTTTGTGTATAATAGGGATCCAATTTAATTTTTTCATATGATAATCAATTGACCCTCCTTTACTCAGTGATCTGCAGTGCCATTGATGTCATAAACCAAGTCCATGTATATGAGTGTTCCTTAGTTATTTCTCTTTTCCACTTGTCAGTGTTTTAACTCTTGTGTCAATACCATACTGTCTTAATTACTATAGCTTTATAGTAAGTCTTGATATTTGAGGGCAAATCTTTATTATTTTTCGTTGATAGGAGTATCTTTGCTACTTTTATGCTTTTTTACATACATTTTCTTTTTTCCAGCTTTATGGATATATAATAACATACAACATTGTGTAAGTTTAAGGTGTACAACACAATTTGATATACATATACTTGCAAAATGATTATCACAGTAAGTGATATCTATATACTATACTTGCAAAGTGATTATCACAGTAAATATCTCCATCACCTCATATAATTACCTTTTTTTTTAATGGTGAGAACTTTTAAGATTTACTCTCTTACAACTTCTAAGTATATAACACAGTATTGTTAATGATAGTTACCATACTACTTAAAAAAAATCCTTGTAGCCATTCTGTGCCTTTTGATTGGAGAATTTAATTCCTTTATATTTAAAGTAATTATTGAAAGATAAGGACTTAAATGCTATCTTACTCATTGTTTTCTGGCAGTTTTGTAGTTCCCTTGTTATTTTCTTCCTCATGCTGTCTTCCTTTGCAAATTGATGATTTTCCATGGAAGTACGCTTTCATTTCCTCCTATGTATCTTTTGTGTATCTACTGTAACTTTTTGCTTTTTTGTTACCATGGGGTTTACATAAAATGTCTCATAGATGTAATAGTCTATTTCAAGGTGATAAATTTGATCACATACAAAAACTGTACCTTTTACTCCCCATCTCAACATTTTATGTTTTGATGTTATAATTTCTTTTTATATTATGTATCCATTAACAAATAATTATAGCTATATTTTAATATTTTTATTTTTTATTTTTTTTAAATGTTTATTTATTTTGAGAGAGATACAGAGAGCGTGAGCAGAGGAGGGACAGAGAGAGAGACACAGAATCCGAAGCACGTTCCAGGCTCTGAGCTGTCAGCACAGAGCCTGACATGGGGCTCCAACCCACAAACTGCAAGGTCATGCCCTGAGCCAAAGTTGGACACTTAATGTTCTGAGCCACCCAGGCACACCTAGTTATTTTTATTTTTTAATATTTATTTAGTTGAGAGAGAGAGCAAGCAAGTGGGGGAAAGGCAGAGGGAGAGGCAATCTTAAACAGGCTCTATGCCCAGCAAAGAGCCTGATGTGGGTCTCAGTCTCACGACTGTGAGATCATGACCTGAGCCAAAATCAAGAGTCAGATGCTTAACCAACTGAGCTATCCAGGTGCCCTTCTCCTTCATTTCTAAAGGATAACTTTACCAGGTAAAGTATACTTGGTTGGCAGGGTTTTTTTTCCATCACTTTAAATATATCATCCCACTCTTTCTTGGCCTGCAAGGCTTCTGCTAAGAAATCTGCAGATATCATTATGGAGGTTCCCATGTATGTGAAGACTTTTCTCTTGTTTAAAAAATTTTCCCTTTGATTTTAGACACTTTCATTATAAGAAAAAGAATATAGTTTTAGGTTGAAATTTGGTGGGGGGACCCATAGGCTTTATGATCTTGGATATCCAAATCTCTTCCCAGATTTGGGAAGTTCTCAGCCATTATTTCTTAAAATAAGCTTTCTGTCCCTTTCTCCCTCTCTTGTCCCTCTGGGAGCCCCTGATGTGTATATTGTTTTTCTTAATGGTATCCCATAGTCTCATAGACTTTCTTAACTTTTTCATTGTTCCCCTTGAGTGAGTTATTTCAAATGACCCGTCTTCTACTTCACAGATTCTTCTGTTGGATCCAGCCTGCTATTTATGTGATCTATTGCACTTTTCATTTCATTCATTGTATTCTCCGGCCCCAGAATTTGTTTCATTATTTTCATGATCTCTCTCTGCTAAACTTCTCATTTCCTCCATGTATTGTTTTCCTTATTTTATTGAATTGTCTTTTTGTATTTTCTTGTACCTCACCAAGCTTCTTTCAAACAACTATTTTGCATTCTTTATCAAACAAATCTCAGATCTCCATTTCTTTGGCATTGGTTACTAGAAAACTGTACTCCTCTGGTGGTGCCATGTTTCATTGATTTTTCATGTTCCTAAAAAAAAATTTTTTTTAGGTAGGTTCCATGCCCAGTGTGGAGCCCAATGTGGGGCTTGAACTCATGGCCCTGAGATCAAGACCTGAGCTGAGATCAAGACTTGTACACTAAACTGACTAAACCACCCAGATGGCCCCATGTTTCTCAAATTTTGTATTACTGTCTTTGAGGAAGCAGTCACCTCCACATCTTTACTGACTGGCTTTAGGAGAGAAATACCTTCTCTAAGCTCTGCTAGAAATTCCAAGGCTTTCTCAGACTTTTTCTATGGATATACCAGCTCCACATTTCTTGTTCCTTTTTTGGGGGAATCCTTTTTAAGATTATATGTCTTCTCTTGATCCTGCAAAGCCAGGCCAAGTTCTGACAGCCTCCCTTTGCTTGCTTTCCCTAGGGCAATGCTGAAGTTAGTGTGCTTTCCTCAATCCCACAGAGTCAGTATGGCTTTCTGTGAATGCTCACTAACTTTCTACAAAAAACACTTGCTCTTGCCACCATCAGGGACGCAGAAAGAGAGCTGGCCAGAGGGTGGAGGTGCATGTGGTTGAGGTGTGTGCCCTTGGGCCAATTGAGGGGATCTATAGGTGAGGAGACCCCAGCAGCTCACTGGCAGGCTTCCTGATAAGTCTGCAAAGTAATTAGTAGGATTCATGTTCCTCTGATCATGGCTGAGAGCCATGTGCCGTTCTCTCAGCCACTCCTCAGCCTCCTAGATGTGCGGCACACCTCCATATTCTGGATGGGATGAGAAACAAGTGGGTCCTCTTGGCAGACTTTGCACAACTGGATTGCTGAGCACTTACTCCCATACTCTCAATTTCCCCTGTGGGAGAAATTTCAGGCCGAGAAGGTCTCTCTTGGCACTTAGCTGTGCCACCTTGGGGAAGGGGTGGGACATAGGTACACTGAAACTCTTCCTCTCACTCTCTTCATTACATCCAGTCTTCGATTTTCTTTTTTCCAACAGTGTGCTAGAACTTCTCTAGTGGAATTCTGGTCTTCCACAAAGGCCCTCTTATCTGTGGGTGATTACTAAATTGGTGTTCTTTGAGGGAAGATGGCAGAAAGCTCTTATTCCACCATGTTGATGATGTTATTCCACATATCTTCACAGATGTGCAGGCCAGATGGTCTCTGTTCTCTCTCAGCTGGTCACTGACATGTATTTATCCCCTTATCTCCTACATACATTTTATTATAAATTTTTTTTAAGTTTATTTATTTATTTTTGAGAGAGGGAGAGAGAAAGCATGAGCATGAAGAGAGGAGAGGCAGAGAGAGAAGGAGAGAGGAAGAGAGAGGGAATTCCAAACAAGCTCTGCAATATCAGCATGGAATCCGACATGGGGCTCAAATTCATGAACCATGAGATCATGACCTGAGCTGAAATCAAGAGTCGGACACTTAACCGACTAAACCACCCAGCTGTCCCCTACATACATTTTAGAATCAGCATGTCAAGTTTCTAAAAAAATTCTGTTTGGAATCTCATTCCCAGCACAGACTAATTTGGAAAGAACTAACATTTTTAGGATATCGTCTTCTAGTAATTAACATAGTTGTTCGTTTCATTTATTTAGGTCTTATTTTTAGATAAAGTTTTCAAACGTTTTCTGTAAAAGCCCTAAAAAGTGAACCCTTGAATAAGGTCCAGAGGGAAACAGCAGGCAATTACCAGCATCTGTGTACCCAAGGCCGAGTGATGTTATTTCAGGCATTTCTCAGGGTTTAGGGAAGTCAGTAAAACGATCAAAAGACTGAGAAGTTTAACTTGCCTCCAGGATATGTTTATGTACACATGAAATATTTGTAAGAAAAAATACTATAGAGAACAGAGTAACTGATAATGGCTACTCACCCCAGCCTTAATGTAAATAGGAGAAAATATCCAACCAAGAACACACAGCAGAAACGGAGCCTGAAACCAAGAAAGAGAATTACATTAGGGTTCCATCTAGGGCAAGCTCTTAAATGAGATGCAAGCTCAGTGACTTCTGTTTGAGTCTAACAAATGTATCAGTACTGGGGAACCTTATAAACAACAGCCCAAGCACGCACCTTCTAGTACAATAAACTACTTACAGGCACTTGATCTTTGCCTATGAAAGAGTGCCTTCTTAATTTGGTGTGGGGGGGGAGGGGAGGGGGAGGCTTAACTGAGCCAGTTTTCAAGGTATGTATGTATGTATGTATGTATGTATGTATGTATTTATTTATTTATTTATTTATTTATTTATTTATTTTTTCAACGTTTATTTATTTTTTGGACAGAGAGAGACAGAGCATGAACGGGGGAGGGGCAGAGAGAGAGGGAGACACAGAATCAGAAACAGGCTCCAGGCTCTGAGCCATCAGCCCAGAGCCTGACACGGGGCTCGAACTCCCGGACCGGGAGATTGTGACCTGGCTGAAGTCGGACGCTTAACCGACTGCGCCACCCAGGCGCCCCTCAAGGTATTTATTTTTAATATTGTTTGTCTATTTCCAGAGAGGAACAAAGGTGGCTTATATATAGAAGATAGTTTAAAAAAAAAAAAAAAAAAAAAAAAAAGACCAGAAACCATTCAGAGAAATGAGGGAGAAACTCTACCAAAATTTCATACAAGTTATTGAAAATAAGTAATAAATTTGGCTCTGGCTTTCTTACAAAGAAGGGGTAAGGTAAGTTGAATTTATAAAGGAGATGCTAGTAAATTCTGAGAAGTAAATGGTGGTAAAGGCCAGGGCTTTTTGCTAGGCTTGAAATTGACTTGGATAGAAGTGTCCTTTATTTTTGTAGTCTATAAGGAGAAAGATGAGACTCAGAAAGTAGGGAGCCTTCTGATTTACCCAGAAAAGTCAGATGGTTTATACAGAAATAAGTTAATAAGCCCAAGACTTATAAATTCACTTATATTTAGGCGAACAAATTCTATGTTCTACAACAAATATATCCCACAGATTAAATAAATAATCCATTTAATAGGTTTTATGGTTCAAACCTGGTATTCTTAGGAGGTCATTTAGGAGTTTTGTAGTAATTAGTTGAATATCCTGAAGAGCACAGTTGAGCCCATTCTCAATACATACTTCAAATATACACATGCATATACATACACACATACATGTACATATAGACACATATATCTGTGTGTTTACACATATACACATATATATCTGTATGTATATCTACACATAAACATGTATGTACACCTATATTTAAATGTTAATATGGTCTTTTCTCTTTTTCCTCCCTGGATGGTCTCCTAAAAGTTCTTTGTTCATTGTATTCCTACGGCCCTTGGGATGTAAACATTCTCTGTCTCTTCATTAACTTCATTAACTAAGAAGAATGAAAACTAGCACAATCATTTTGAAAATCAAAGACTTGGTTCTTTTCTCCTGTGACTTCTAAGAGGTCTTCAATATTTACCAGAGGTAGAAAGCAAGTTTTTATATTTAGGAGTTTTATTTGGACAATGATAAAGAGGGAGGTTAGTTGCTGCACAAGGTATTACTTACATTCCATTCAAAGGCCCCAATAGCAATCCCTGAAGTCGCTCCTATTCCAGCCAGGCCCATGAAGTGGCCACTGCCAATACTGGAGGCAAAAAGAGAAGCGCCTATCTGAAAATCAAAAGGTGATTACCTAGCAGAACTATCAGTCCAACTCCAAGAATTCATTTTCACAAATGTAAACCGAATTTTCCATTTTCTCAAAAGCGATTATTCCCTGGGCAGAATTCCCATTTATGTTTCTGCTACACAAACACCCTACCTACAAATTAGAAGCCAAGTGAGAAGAGAGAACATGAAAAAAGAATGGCCATTCTTACATTGCCACATTTCACATGCTCCACCCACTTACTTGCAATTCCCTAATGCAGAAATATTAGCAGAGTGCAATTTCATCATTGTCTAAATAATTTAAAAATATCAATAATCTAACTGGTTGTAAGTATTGGTTAAAATACTAAGGTGCATGAATATGATGAAATACAATGTAGCATACAGAAAGAATAAAGGAGCTTTTCATTAAACAATAAGGTAAGCAATATGTATGATATAATCTCATTAAAATTTTATGTGTGCATCTTACATTTGCACAGATATATGCTTATATATGCATGGGAATGGTTCTGGTTTTATATATATATATATGTATATATATATATATATATACATATAACAAAATATTTCTGGAGTTATGGTTATAGAGATGGAATGAGGAGAAAATTTCAAGTTCTATACTTAGACTATAACTTTTGGGCTTTTTACAATCAACATCTGTTACTTTCAAAAGAAAAAATTCCTAGAGGTATTTAAATGAGCAAAATCCCTCCTAAACCAATAACAGCTTTTTAATTGAGTAGAGATAGCCACTCCATTCAAAACAAAAATCCAACTATGATGCCTTTGACATGAGATAGATTTTAAACTAAATTATCAAGAGAGGTTGAAAATAATGAAGCCTTTTAGGTAAAAACAAACACCTCATCACTGACAATATTGACATAAGATAAAGTAGTATTCAAGATCAAAAGCATTAGGGGCCCCTGGGGGCTCAGTCAGTTAGGCATCCACTCTTGATTTTGGCTCAGATTCATGGGTTCAAGCCCCACGTCAGGCTCTGTGCTGGTGGTGCAGTCTGCTTGGGATTCTCTCTCTCTCTCTCTCTCTCTCTCTCTCTCTCTCCCCCTCCGTCTCTTTCTACCCCTCCTCATAAATAAACATAATAATAAAAAATTTTTTTAAAGTAACTTTATAGTTACCTTATAGAACTAACTTTTACAAGGTAAAATGCACTAATAAGCCATCGTTGAGAACATACAGATATCAAATACCTTAACAGGGACAATTGTAAGGCAAAAAAAGTCTTAGAAGTGGCACATAATAAATACTCAAATAATAGTAGTTATTTTTATTATTAAGAATGTTCACTACATTTACCATAATAGTTAAAAATTATATACAGTCTAATTTGCCCAATAATATGGTATTTAAATGGTGGAATGTCCATATGATATAACAGTATGCAACTGTATATAAATATAAAATAAATCTACCTATCTATGTTTATACAGATGTTGGAAGTTGCTAGCATGTTATTAAATTAAAAGATAGCTTTAAAAGGCACCATTTGTTAATTTAATAACTACTAATAAATGTCCATTGCCAACTATGCCCAGGCACTGTTCTAGGTATTAGGGATACATTAGTGAGTAAACTAGACAAAAATCCCTACTCTCATGAAGCCAACATTCTTTTGGGAAAAAGAGAATAAACAAAATAAATTAGAAGATTATTTTATAGCATGATAGTAATAAATACTATAGAGGAAAAAAAAACTGGAGAGGTGGATAGGAAGTACTGGGAAATTGGGTGGTCAGGGTAGACTGTCTGAGAGAAGAGTTGAAGAAGACCAGAAGAGGTGGGGGCACAAGCCATGGGGATTCTGGGGAGAGTGCTCCAGCCAGAGAAAGCATCAGGGGCAAAGGTCCTGAGGCAGAGACACAGCTGGGTTGTTCAAGGACACTGGCTGGAGATGGGGAACAGGCATCCTGGGAGGCAAGGTCAGAGAGGTAACGAGGTACAGGACATCTGTGCCCTACTACAGGCCACTGTAAGGGGCTGGACTTTCATTTTAGGTGACATAGGCACCCCAACAGGGTTTTAAGCAGAAAAGTGACTTTGGTCTGTGCCTTCAGATAGGCGCCTATGGTCTGACTTGAGTTTTAATAGGCTCTCTTTAGCTGCTCTGTTGAGATTGCATATAGAAGAGCCAAGGTAGAAGGAGGGAGCTCAACAAGCTGTTATACTTAATCCAGGTGAGAGACAATAGCAGCATGGACCTGGAGGCAGAGTTGATGGGAAGTGGTCAGATTTGAAAGATATTTTTTAGATCGAGTCGCAGGATTTCCTAATAGATGGGACGTTGGGTGCAAGAGAAACTAAAGCATCTAACAAGACTCCATGTTTGCTAACCAGAGCAACCAGAAGATGGAGTTGCTATTCAGGAGAAAAGAAAGGTGGTGAGAGAAGCAGATTTGCTGAGGGAAGTCCAGGGCTCCCTTTGGGGCTTGTTCAGTTTGAGATACCTGATAGACCTCTCAAGTGCAGTGTCAAACAGTACAGGTGTCATGTGTGAGTCTGGAGTTCACATGAGAGACCCGTGATTTGTTAGCATGTAACTGGTATTCAATGCCATGAGCTAGACGAGTTGCCAAGTATTTGAGTGTGATTGGAGAGAAGCAGTCAGGCGTGGGCCCTGGGGACTTCCAGTGTTAAGAAGTGAGGGAGATGGGGGAAAACCAGCTGGGGAGACTGACCATGAGCAGCTGGGGAGGCAGCTGGAAAGGAGGAGAGCAAGGCGACAAAACAGGGAGGGAGGGAGGAAGGACTAAGAGCCTCAGAGTTTCACCACTGCCAAGCCAGCTTAGATGAGCACTGAGAACTGGGCACAAGAATAAGCCATGTACAATTTAAAAAAAAAAAAAAAAAAGGAGAGAAAGAAAAGTCAGTCACATGGAGGGCCTCAACAAGAGCAGCTGATACCCATCAGGTATCTGCTAATAAGAATATAAAACAGGGGCGCCTGGGTGGCGCAGTCGGTTAAGCGTCCGACTTCAGCCAGGTCACGATCTCGCGGTCCGTGAGTTCGAGCCCCGCGTCAGGCTCTGGGCTGATGGCTCAGAGCCTGGAGCCTGTTTCCGATTCTGTGTCTCCCTCTCTCTCTGCCCCTCCCCCGTTCATGCTCTGTCTCTCTCTGTCCCAAAAATAAATAAACGTTGAAAAAAAATTAAAAAAAAAAAGAATATAAAACAAAAAAGATAGCCAGAGTGGCAAAAATCATTCTTTTAGTTTCCTTTACTAATACCATAAAATATTTTGTTCATGAAGCAATAACCCTAACAATGAAAAGAGAAGCCACAGCAAAGAAATTAATAAATCATAACATACATAAACATTGGGAGGGCAAAGCATGTTACTGTCTCTTGGAAACCGTTAGAAGTGTCAGTTTTATGAGGCAATATGGGAAGAAGATTGTCATTTCTCTAGGTACAGAAAACATGACTACAGGTCTAAGTGGCTCAGGCAAAAGACTGGGGGCCTCACAGCCCAGGAAGAGGCTGTGTTGCTGGAATCCTCTGCAGAAAAATAAACTAAGGTAGGAGGCCCATTGCAAACATTTTTTTGCTGCATTCAATCTCTTTCTAAAGCAGGTTTACAAAAAAAAAAAGAAGATTCAAGTATAATTCAGAGAGTTAAATGCCAGGAAAATGCTTTTCCCCAAATCTCCCAGCTAAGAGGCAAAGCCATTTCTGCTAGGTTGTTGGATCCATCAGAGTAAGTGTACTTTCCTTTTCCCTTTGAATAAAGGCAATTTCTCCTTCTGAGACAAGATTTCTCTCTTTGAAGTGCTACCCCAGTGTGGAAAAAAAAATCTTTGCCATAAGACTGGTTAACATTTGAGGGCAAAGAATATTAATGAGTAAGGGCCTGCTTCTTATATAATTCTCTAAATGTACCTTACATTCCTGTGCTGGAAACGCATGTACATTTTTACATGTACATGGTATATTTTACATGTACATTTTACAGTTAATTTTTTTTAATGTTTGTTTATTTTTGAGAGAGAGAGAGCGTGAGGTGGGAAAGGGCAGACAGACAGGGAGACACAGAATCCAAAGCAGGCTTTAGGCTCCGAGCTGTCAGCACAGAGCCCCACGCAGGGCTTGAATTCATGAGCTATGAGATCACAACCTGAGCTGAAGTTGGACACTTAACTGACTGAGCCACCCAGGCACCCCTATTTTTACATAATAAGTTATAAAGCAGCGCTGGCTCAGGCTTGCCTTGGGTCCTAGGAGGTTGGGCCCTTCTGGTGACCCACATCTTCCTCCTCCCTGGGGCACTCCTACCCACTCTATCCTGGGTACAGGGTCATGGACAGGCAGCTGCCTCTTCTGCTGTGGGGGTTTTGAGGCACTCCTCTTGGATGGAATAACTTTGAATAATGAATAATACATAAAAGACAAGAAATGATTTCTACCCTGCCTCCCTCCATCTAGCATCATGCTGTTCCATACCCAAGCTTTGGTATATGCTGTTCCTTCTGCCTGGGATGCCCTCACACTCTACCTGTAAACACCTACTCCACCTCCAAATCCTGCTCAGATAACCCTACCTCTAGAAGACCTTTCCCGTCTTGTACCCCCTCCACCCAGCAAGCCTGAGTTTACCTTTCATCAGTATCTGGCCTGTGCACCTCCCACCAGACTCACTGCTGTCCTGCACTGTAACGTGATGCAATTTGCTGGATACACATATAACTCCCTTTCTAGATTGTGGGCTTCCAGCAGGCAAGACTGTCTATTCCCCACCTGTGTCCTGGTACCTAGAACAATGCTTTGTACATACCAGGCACCTAATAAATGGTTAGTGAATTAAACTGAGTTGAATGAAAACATTTTGGTAAGAAACTACTTACGAGTTAAGCAAACTCTAATGAAATGACTTTCCCAATTTAGCAACTTCAAATTATTTTGGGTATAAGATATCTACATTAAAGTAACAGACAAGTTAACATGTGGCCGCCTAAGCGGATTGCCACATGCAAACCTTACTCACCGGCCACCATGCTAGATTGCGGCCAGCCAGGAAGAAGTCGTCTACTGTCCCACGACTGCTTGACAGGATAGCCTTAAAAACAAATGAACAATAGAAATACAAGAAACAAACTGCTCCAAAGACACAGATCTCTCAAACGATCACCTTCACTTATGCATAAATCTCTTTAGCAGAGACCCCCCAAATCCATTTTCCCTTTCTTTCTTTTTAGGAATAGAAGCCCCTACTCACTGGGTTACTCTGGCCACCCAGCAGGAGACTACAGTCTCTTCTAGCTCTGGTTGTGTGGACATCTCCATTTCTCTACACTTCTGAGAAATTAATATTGCTTCATTTTTTTCCCCAACTAGTTAACCAGTGTCATAGCTTCTAGCAGAGTCTGGGAGATGAGTGGTTAGTGAATGTATGGATCAGTGAGGAATGGCAAACCTGAACATGTGCCCAGCTTCTTCCAGAACAGCTGTCACTCTGCCATTATTACGGTGTCCTTCCAACACATCCAAGTCCTCTCTACTCAGGCTCCCCAGCTCTGATTCCCAGACTCTGATGTGGCCAAAAGACAATCCTGGGGATTTCCTGGAATGCCTAGGACTGGCATGACCTAAGGATGACAGCTGATTGACAGAAATATGTTTCTGTGGGAAGAGTGAACTTAAAAACTGCCGTCTGAGGGGTGCCTGGGTGGCTCAGTTGGTCAAGCGTCTTGACTCTTGATTTCAGCTCAGGCCATGATCTCACAGTTCCTAGGATCGAGTCCTGTTGGGCATGGAGCCTGCTTGGAATTCTCTCTCTCTCCCTCTCTCTCTCTGCCCCTCCCCTGCTTTCTCTCTCTCTCAAAATAAATAAATAAACATTTAAAAAAATCCTGCCATCTGAGGTATCTATATTATAATGCAATTTCCTCACATCATAAGCCTCAAACCAAAGAAACAACTCTCCAAATCAGACACATTAGGTTAGTCTCACCTCATCTAGTCACTAAATATTTACCAAGGGCCTACTACGTGCAGAGCTGAACTTTTTAAGGGAAGCATCAGCTGGGAAACTTTTAAAAGGACTTAAAAAAAATTCATCTGTTCTCAGAATAAAAGCATCCTCGCTTTCCACAAAGAGAGGACCAGACAGTAAGAAAAGCAGATCCTGAGGAGAAGGTGGCTTAAGTGCCTGTCCCTGCCTCTTCCTTCCTCCCTGCTCTCTTCTTGGAATAATAACACCACACAGCAGCCGGGCTGGTGGGGGGAAGAAGATACAACCAACTCTTTCTCAAAGATCTCTGGGCTGAGACTGATAAAAAGAGAAAAACAAAAACAAAAAAAAAGTGTAAGTTTTTTCCCTTTACCATCCTATAAGAGCCAAGACACTAGCAGCAAAGACTGATTTCTCAGTTTCCTGGGGGACTCAGCAGACAGGAGTTGATGAATGCTTTCAGAAAGAAGTCCCATCTGTGTGAATGTGGGCAATTTGGTTCAGCAAGAAAAGGGTGGTTTAATAACTGGAAGAAAATAAAGCTAGATTTATCCATTGAATCATACATAAAAATAATTTTCAGATGTTCTAGAGATTTAAATATGAAAAAACTATAAACTATTAGAAGAAAATTTGGGATAATATTTGTACAAATTTGGAATGGGAGAAAACTTTCCTAAGAAAAGCAGGAAATCTAGAAGATGCAAAGGAAAAGAGAGATAGTTGACTTCTTCAAGGTGAACAAAAACTCAAATGACAGAAAGACACCATTAATAGTTTAGACCAGTGGCTCTCAACCAGAGATGATTGTTTTCCCCAACCACTCAGGGGATATTTGGCAGTGTCTGGTTACATTTTTGGTTATGAATGGGCAGGCGTCAAGGATACTTCTAAGCATCCTATTATGCACAGGACAGATACCCACAATGAATTATCTGGTCCCAAATATCAGTAGTAAACACTGGTTTGGACAAATGACAGCTTGGGGAAAACAGATGAGCAAGTCAAATGACAAAGAAGTTGATAAAAGCAAAAACACAGATAAAAAATGGCAAATAAAAAGATGCTCAACTTCACTAGGAGTCTAGGAAGTACAAATTAAAGCTACAAAGACATACCACTGTCCACCCATCAGGCTGGCAAAACACACACACACACACACACACACACACACAGTAATGAGCAAGTCTTGGGGGAAAGAGCATGATCATATCCTGCTTGTGAAAAATGTAAATCTCAACAAGCTCTGGAGATTAGCATTTAGTAATATCTACTAAAATTTCAAATAAATGTATACTTCTGACCCAGCACTTCCAATTTTGGGAATCCATGCTACACAGATGAAAAGTACCAACACAACAATACCTGGCATCAAAACCAATACCTGGCAACAATCTAAGTGTAGATTAGTAGGGAAGAGCTGGATAGTATCTATTTGTGGGACTACTAGTCAGTTAATAACAACATAAGCTGTATCTCTATCCATTGACCTAAAGGATTCTCTCCACATATAGTAAGTGGGGGAAGAGGCAGGCTGCAGAGTAATGTGTATGATACAATCACATCTTCTATAAAGACAAAACACAAAATTCTACGTGTGTCTGCATGTTTGGATAAGCACTGAGAAAGGGGAGGGATACATGACCCATGGTTATCTCAGAGGGATGGGAATGGATGGGGGAAGAATAGTAACTTATTCTTTATTTATGCATCTTTTCGCTCTTACAATGAGCATGTTAATATTTTCCTAATTAAAAACAATATAAGATTATCCAAAAGAACAAATGGAAAGATAATACAAAGAAGGGAAAAGATCAGAGCATTCTGGATAACTATGTATGTTTTATGGCTCCCAGAACAGAAGGAACAGCAGGTTTCTTTAGGAAATGACCAGATGGCTTACCAGTCCTCTGACCTTGGCCAGACTTAGACCCCAAGTGAGTCTGGGACAAAACTGGGTGGGGGCTTCCAATTCAATGAGAGCACTAGAAGAAGGATCCAAAAATAAGTACTCATTATTCAGAGACCCTGTGTCTTTGGGTACTTAGAAGGATGTTTCTCATAACTGAGGCCAATTAAAAAAAAATCTTCAGTTTGAATGATCTGGATAAACACCCCAGATTTCTCCTTTATGTTTGGAATAAAGGGCCTATATTTTCTCTTCTGGTACAAAATTCTCTTAATAGGATGGAGACCATGTCTCCATTACTCTATCTGCTTACTAGCAGCATAGTGACTTAGTGTAAGCCCTCAAAAGAGTGTCCAGTGATCGTATTTTGAAAGGCACAGCAAGATTCTGCACAGTAAGATCCTGCTCATAACCTGGTGAAGTGTCCCAAAGTAAAGGTCACATGGGCATGAAAGCTTCAGCTGGGTGGGGGCCACCCAGAATGAAAACTCTCCCATTGGTTTAGTGAATGGTGGCAGTCACCAGATATTCCTGCTTGGTGAAGCAGGCCAGGCAGAGGCTTCTGATGGTTAACAACTTATCGGAGGGGTGACACCATGACACCAACCAAAGCTGTCATACCCATCTGATCTTTCGCTGGAATGCAGGCCTGTCCCAGGGTAGCATGGTTAAAAGACACCTTTTTGAGTGCTTACGTACTAAGCTCTAGTGGGCAGATGGCAATAAAGGAGACATGGTCTCCACCCTCTTAAAAGAAGCTTGTACGAAGAAATAAGCTTTTTATTCAGATTTAAAGAGAACACTTAGAGCCCTAAGTTACTAGTGACCTTTGAGATTTTGCTAGCAAGGCAAAGGGATTAAGATCATGAGTCAGATCAGACAGCTCTAGGTTCAAATCTGAACCCAATCGTTCCCTGGTTACTTAAATTCTTTGAGCCTTGGTTTCCTCAACTGGGGAATTAGTGGGAATGACAGTATGTTAGTCACAGCAGGGTTGTGAGGACATGAACTTGAAGCACTCACAGCAGACCCGTCACTTAAAGGCCTAATCAGAGATAGCTGTCATTATTATCATCATCATGATCTTAACAGCGCCTGCTTATCAAACACCTCTCAGGTTCCAGGCAGCGAGCACGGGGGAGGGATTTGAGCCTGCTCATTTATTTGGGG